AGCGGTAGCTTCGATCTGGACAATTTTGAAGCTGTTAACCTTTTCGAGCCCGAGCTATAACTCTTGCTTACTCTTAACTCTTGACTGTAGAATATACAATTCCTGTACTCGCTTGTAACGTTACTTTTTTGTGGTTCTTCGTCGAGTGTAGCCTTTTCATTGAGACCATTTTAGTGTGGTGTTTGTTTACCAAAACTGTGTAGAGTCAGAGAAGATTTGTACGTCAATCCCTATCTTCAGAAAAGTATAGTCTCACTGATTTGTAAAGTCGCATTTTGCAGATCGAACAGGATGAGCAGTACCAATTACGCAACAGTGGATGAGCTAGAGGAAGTCATTGATCTAACTCATCCACAGACGTCCCAAAGTGAAGACCAGAGAGTCTCCTCTTTCCCTTCTGATGTTGGAACTCCTATACTGACATCGTCATGTCATGATAAGTCACAAATTACTTCGTTCATGGACGTGAAGGAGACCAAGTGGCTCCCAAAGACTTCTGTTATTGGGATTATGAGAGAGTCTGCGTCTGTCATGTACCATGTTTGTTCAAGAATGATGGCAGAGAGCCTGCAATCTCATAATTCTCTCGTTATTTCCATGCTTGAAACAAGTGAAGATGGCGTTCTGCATGTAATCCGCGGTCAGACAAGCAGTCAGGTTTTAAATCAATTGGTTTATCGCTTCAAGGCTAACGGAAATTGGGATGGGCGCGTTCCATTTCTGGAAAGCAGCGAAATCATGCAGAAGCGGAGATACAAGTGCCTCGGAGTGAAGCATTGTGCGCTGGTACCATCTTCATTTAGCGGGAGAAACCATGGAAATAGTGAAACGTTTGAGCAGCTTCTTTCCGAACAGAGGGAGAGGAAGGATGGTAGCGCTTCTGCGAAGCATACCGCTAAGCGTTTGGCAAGGACTTTGTTTTTGTCGGTACAAAAAAAGTCAACAGTGCGGGTGGGTATTGTCAATACATCAGGACTCCAACTGCATCACAAGGAGCTCCAGGGGTAGTGCAAAAATGTCGAGGAGTCCCTAAATTAAGGAAAAACAGATCCACTGGAGAATATTTCCTTGGTTGTTCTGGTTTTCGAAAGGGAGATGGGGATAAACGGTCTAGCATCGAAGGTTGGGCGTCGCCGAAGCACTCATCTCAATCTCTACATGCGTTGACAGATGAGGCTCTGGTTGAATTGCAAGAGATGTTACATAGCGGGAGAGTCGCAGACTGCAGCAAAGAGGACTGTATGTTCTTCCTCAGCAAGGGAAAGAGAACTGCTCAATGTCCGGATCACGGAACATCTCTTATCGAGACTGGGGCTTGCCCTGTAAAATTAATCCTCATGCAACCGGTCGGTCAGGTGTCGTGCCATACCGCGGTCTACAAAAGAGGTGATATATTGCGAGGACTGCCTGGAGAACAAAACACAATTTGTTTTGCCTACTTTCAAGGAATACACAACCATCCCCCGCCACCCTCGCCTGTATCCTCTTTCGCGAAAGATACTCTTATTGTTGAAGAAGCTTGCAAGTCGAGAGGAGCCCCTGCAGCCCACATCAAATTGGAGGTTCAGAAGAAACTATTGCATAGCTTTGGAGCTAGAGGTTTCGGGGTTTCTGTAAGTGACCACAGAATTTACGATATCTGCACGGCAATGCAATCTGGCGCAAAAGAAAGAGAAAGCATTGGAACTATGTTTGAAATGGCAGCGGATGAGAGAAACGAATATGTGAGAGAAGCCAGAACTGTGGAAAAAGGAGGAGCGGTGGTTCTTTTAGCAACTAATTCAATGATCGCAAAAGGAGCGACGTCATCTAGCTTTGCCGGAGATGCGACCTTCAAGACATTGGAAAATGACGTTTCTATGGTGAAGGTTGTCATGTCGACAAAAGAAAGTTTCAAGCCATTTCGATTGTCGGCTAAAGTTTCGTGGTATTTATACAATGTTGTAGCACAAGCTCATCCCGGCCTATCAGGAACGAAGGGAATTGTCGTCGCCAGATTCATGATGAACCGACTTACGCGTGATTCGTACTGTATGGGATGGAAACTGTTCCTGGATCACATGCAGACACACTGGAGAAGAGCTGTGAGTGCGCCGCAAAGTTAATGCTTAATACGCGTACCATACGTGTTCAATGTAGACCAATGCGGGATCCGGTGCATCGAAATCAGGTCAATAACTACTGACTTCGATGCCGCCGAAATAGAAGGAATTGCCCTGGCCCTTCAATCGACAATCGGAGGTTCAGCACGTATGCATGTGGAAAACATCATGATTGGTTGTACTGTTCATTTTGACAGGGATGCAAGGCGACGAGCGGCCCGACTACCGGTGAATATCAGAGATGTGTTCTATAGAACGATGATGAAAATGCGCAACTGCAGAAGCGTTATGGAGGCAAACGAGGCTCTGGACTACATGAGATCGCTGGACAGGTCTTGGGCAGATTGGGTACTAAAATACCCCTTCAAGACGTTGGCAATTACAGCGTTTTCAAATATGGCTGATCAAAATTTCCGCACTGGATTTCAGGACACAAACATCGTTGAGAGCCAAAATAGGAGAGGACATCACATCTGTGGCGTGCAGATTAATCCAGCCATTGCCGCCAAACGACTCGAAGATCTCGACAACATTTCAGTCGAGGAATCGCTTGGATTGGATAGCGGGGTTGGCGCGTACAACATCCTTCGCAAGCGACAGCGGTTTGACTCTTTGGTTGCCCCATCTGGATCGAAATCTCCGCAGAAAAAACAGAAGAGATCCAAGTTTCTTGGTAATATCCCAGGCAGTTCCGAAAGAAAAATTAAAGCCTCCGTATCTCGTTCAGACACGAAGCATAAAAGTCGGAACACAATGAAGGGAGACTTGTTGGAAATGAAAATGATTCAGAAGAATGTAGCTGAGGCAATGAACGAAATTGTCGAAGAAGCTTCAGCTGTACAGATGGAAAAGCTTACCGATCTGACAATGAAAGTTGAAAATGCGTTATCAGCATTTGATGCCCGAATTGAGATTCTGAGTTGCCTGAAGGAAGTAACACAGGATCTTCTCCTGCGCAAAGTTATCTCGACGTTGTTCTTGAAAATTAAAACGAGTGGGGACGATATCAAGAATGCTCAAGGCTTGGAAAAGAATGATTCTGCCGTAAACTGTATTGATGTTGATGCTTCTGATAGAGATCTCTGAGTAGGCACGAAAGTAAAATGGTATCGAGACTTATGTGTTGAAGCTATCTGTGCTATCCTATTGAGTCCCATATTTCTTCTGAAGATCACCCAGCGACCTACGGACTTTGAAAAAGCGTATAGTCCTGTTAAAAGACTGACTAAACTACCACTTCGAGTATGGAACGCCCTGTTTCATGGCTCCTATACTCATGAATTGAGTAAGCCACCTGTTTTCAGGGTCGATGTTTGCATTTGTCCTTTGCTGAGGTGGTTAATGTTAAGTGAGCAGCAGGCAAATGTTAACTTGTTTACGGAATATGTAGTGTCAACCTCATTTTGAATATTGAATACCTTTTCTTGGGGGTTCGAAACTCATTATGAGTTTCGAACCCCTTTTTTTGGTATTCGAAACTCATAATGAGTTTCAAATACCTTTTTGTGGGGGTTCGAAACTCATAATGAGTTTTGGGTCCCTTTTCGGCCTCCCAAATCTCATAATGAGTTTTGGGTCCTTTTTGGAGTTTCAATACACATGAAGAGAGCACAGTATGTATGTCGCCACGATCAAGCGTGTTTGCCATAGAAAAACACTCACTATCTTGAAGTCGCATTAAGTATATTAAAGTTTGCAGGATGTGGCCTTCTCATTTGCGCTTTATTACTAAGTAATTTAATCTCATTAGCGCAGCGTAATCCGTGACAGCTTCACCAATGGTAGAGAACTGGACTTTACAGATCGAACTCATGAGAATTGTTAAAACTTCATCTTTTTGTATGATTTACCAAGATTGTATCGATTTTTCACTACCGAAAACAGTCCAGTTTATATCATCCAGAAGATCAAGTGCGGTACATAGGTAATATAGAGTGTCCATGCGCATGCAGCAGTGGAAATGGTATTCTCATATTGATTTGCCCAGTAGCGGGAACATGTTTACTAGAAAATTAGACGGGTGGTCAATGTTTACCCAGTGGCAAGTAAATGTTTACTAGAAAATTGGACGGTTGGTCAATGTTTACCCAGTGGCAAGTAAATGTTTACTTGTTGATCGGGGGTCAATTTTTACCCCGTGGAAAGTAAATGTTTACTTGTTGACGGATATTTGGACTGGACAGGCGGAGTGCTGTGATAGGTTGCAATACTTTGAGTTTTTCAAGAAATTCAATGGCTTCTTTTGCCCCTACTGTAATTGAGTTTATTGAGAATTGTATTTAAATCACGGTGCATATCGCGTATGATAAAAAACTTTATTTACAACCAGGGAGAACCCGGATTGCAAGGGGGAGGTTAACAGAAGGATGGATCTGTTGATCGAGAGTTGACATGAGGAGCACTGTGAGGGTGTCTTAAGTTAAGACACACCGTCACAGTGCTCCTGCAAAAACCAGACTGTTAAGACTGTTAAGACTCTTAACAGGCTGGTTTTTGCTTTGCCTTGCCCGGTTTTGCCAGGAATACTTTTAAATTCTTAACAAATACCGTCTGCTTCGTAAGCCGTTGCTTTTCTTAAACTCAAAAATTAAAACATAAGAGCCAATCATAGCACGCCAAATCACCACTTTGGGCAAAGCAAAGCAAACTGCAGAAAAACGGGGCATGTTAAGACACACCCTCAGGGTGTGTCTTAACCAGTTGGTCTTAACATGCCCCGTTTTATGAGAGGGTGTAATGTGACGATATGTACAGATCGGGATCAGGGAAGCGGGACCGGCTAAGCAGGATCGGGGGAGCAGGATCAGGGGAGCGGGATCAGGGGAGCGGGATCAGGGGAAGCGGGATGTGACGTCGGTGTCGGCGAGCTCACCGTTTTGTCGCTGGCGACACCCGGAGATGGCCTTCTCTCACCGTGGCATACGGTGGCATACGTATCAAACACCCGCCGTCTACTCGAACTGCCGCCTGCACTTCCCCTTCAACCTCTTCGTCGCCCCGACCTTCCCAACCAAACCCACATCCAGCCCTCACCATGAGCAAGAAGGAGAAGAGCCCGCTGCTCTACTTCTACGGCGTGGAGTGCGCGCACTGCGACCTGATGGACCCGCTGATGAAGCAGCTGGAGGACGAGACGGGCATGACGCTGCGCAAGTTCGAGGTGTGGTACAACGACGACAACCTGCGCCTGCTGCAGCGCCTGGACAGGGACGGCGTGTGCAACGGCGTCCCGTTCTTCTACTCCAAGATCAAGCGCGACTGGATCTGCGGTGCCACCATCTACCCCAACTTCAAGGCCTGGGCCCTCGGCAAGCCGCACGAGCGCTTCCTCTCCCCGCCCGCGGAGGAGGGCGAGGTCATGGGCCAGTTCAAGGGCGTCTTCGATCGCATCAAGAGCACCGGCTTCGACGCTATTCGCAAGAGAATGGAGGCCGGCAAGAGACTCGCCGGCGATGATAACACCACCCCCGCTACCGCCCCGAAGAAGGGCGCCTTTGCGTTTTATGGCGGCGTGTTACAGCCCATGGGAAGACCGCAAACTTGTCCCAGACGTTAACACATCCCCACATCGCACATCCACCCGCCCACATCCGCCCACATCCGCCCACATCCGCCCACATCCGCCCGCATTCGCCCACATCCGCCCACACACACACACACACACTCACACACGCATACGCACACACAGATACACCACGATCATCATCACTTTTGACTTTCCGCTCGTGGACAACTTACAGGTCGACACCTATGTAAACACTTGGTCTCACTCAAGTAGTCGGGGTAACGATTTTACAGCCTCGCGTACTACGGTAGTAAGGTTTTATACTGCTGTGCTACCTCCAAAAAAACATAATTAGTAGTCCAATTTAGTTGTCCTCCTCCGCCTCGCGGATCGCATCATAGTCAAACGCCACAAACTTGTTCCCGCTCCCGTGCAGGTTGTAGAACTTGTTCTGGAATTCCACCCAGTGCAGACGCAGCGCGTGCAGGAACGCGCTCAGCGACTCCATGAACATCAGCACCCCGATCGTCAGCCCCACCCACATGAAGAACCCGACAATCATCAGCACCGAGCTCCCGGACTCGATCGACAAGTACAACAGCTTCTCGAGGAACACGTCCGATAGCTCCGCGTGCGCGAGCGACAGAGCCCACAGCCGTAGGTAACTCGCCGTGTTGCTCACCGCCCCGAGCACAAACTCGATCGTGTGGATCATCTGATTCACAAACGTGTTTGCGAAATCAAACTCTTCCTCCTCTTCCTCCTCCGCTTCGGCTTCTCCTTTGCCGCCCATTCCGCCGCTCATCGCCGACACTTCGCCTCCACTGTTCGACGACAGCAGCTCAGCCGTCTCGCCTTCGTCCACCAGCGGTCTGTACGCGTCCTTTTTCTTCGCGTCGTACCTGGCCTTGAGGATAAGCGGTTTGGGGAGCAGCATCCATGGCACAGCAACGGCCGCAAGCAGAAGCAGCACTACTTGCACTTCCTTCTGGAACGGATACAGTCTCCCTTCCTCCGGAAGACTCCCGGGAGCCATGAACATGCCGATCAGCACCGTCTTCAGATCCGGCGCGAGACAATTGGGATCCGCTCGGCACGCGGGTGAGTCCCAGTCGATGCTCCATTTCAGCAAAATGAGGATAACCAAATACCCGAAAGTGGCATTCATGAAGATCATCTGCGGCACAAACACATGCCACACATCCACCTGGCTGTTGTACTGCTTGGCGTTGAGGTACGACATGCAGATACCCATCACCATCTGACACACGCCCAGCACGATCGACAATTTCATCTTGTACGAATTGAAGAACAGCAACCCGTTAGCGCTCCCTTTCCAGACGGGATCGAAGCCGAACGGATACGGCGAAACCGGGTTCTTCACAGCGGAAGGCACTTCACAGTTGTCAATACCGCAAGCCATCACCGACTCCTCCGTAAACTTCCACCGCGAACCGAAAAGATCCAGCGGCACGGCGAAAAACTCATTGTACAGAAAGCCGGTAAAGATGGAGAACAGACCCATCAACAACAACATGTACCTTCCATCATAGCACGTCTGCATAAACTCTCCCAACTTTCTCCTCACCATCCTCTTCTCATTGAGGACGACCCAGGCGGCAAACGCAAACATGAGGAAGCCGTGGCCGATATCACCAAACATGACGGCGAACAAGAACGGAAACGTGATGACGGCAAACGGGGCCGGGTTGACCTCCTTATATTCTGCGACACCATACGACTCGACGATGCCCTGAAAGACGGTGGTAAAGCGGTTGAGCTTAAAGTATGTTGGCGGGGTTTCCCTGCCGACAGGGCGCTCCTCCAAAATGGAGTGCACCTGGGCATGCGAGCGGTGCCTGCCCTTGTTGAGCGCGGTCCTGACGCTATCCAATGCAGACGTCGGGGCCCAGACCTCGGCGATAAACAGAGCGTTACTAGTATCATAGTTGAGCATGTTCAAGGTATAAAAGACGGCCTTCTCGCGCCTGACCTTCTCATCCCAGAGGGGCAATTCCGCGGCGATCTCATGCAGCGTGGCGCTCCTCTGCACGGTGGTAGTATTAATGACGGTGTCCAAATCGGCGAGGCGCTCCAGACACTGCTGGTACGCTGTGCTTTGGGCCACAAAGTCCTCGGGAAAGTTGTACAAATTGGCGGCAAAGGCCTGGCAGATCTTGGCGACCTTGCTTTTCACCTCACTGCCGGAGAAGAAGACCATGAAGGCGCTCTTCTCCACGCTTTCCCCCGACGCAGGGTCGACCAAGGGCTCGGGGATCTCCGCGAACCTGACAAGGCAATTGCCGCGCGTGGCGCGAAACAAGACGCGCTCAAACACAGGGACCTTGAGCTTCTCCACGACGCCCGCGTAATAGGCCAGGCTGGTGCCACTCGGGTGTCTCGCCGAGGCTAGGCGCGGGGCTTCGTCGATGAGCGGCGGGGAGTGTTCCCTTTCGGCTGCGTGGGTACCGTACACGGGCCCTGTGGCCTCCATGGAGGGGTCTGACATGGCGAGGGATCCGTACGAGGCCTGCTGCAAGCGCGGGGCGGCCGAGAAGAAGGCGGCGCCCTTGTCCAGGACGTAGCGGAGCTCGACGAGCTCGTTGCGCTGGAGCGTGAGCGAGGTGGCGTGGGCGTTCATCTGCAGCAGGGCCTGCTCGTGGCGGGCCAGGGCGGCGTCCAGGTCGTCCAGGCGCAGCGCGGCCGCGCGGGCGTCGAAGTGCGGCGGCACCTCCAGCGAGTCCGGCGGCGGCACCGACGCGTCCGCGGCGATCTGCGCGTGCAGGAAGCGCAGGCGGCGCTGCATGTCGTCGCACAGACGCACGTTCGCGGAGAACGAGCGCTGGAACGCAGACTGCTCCGGGTTGAGGTCGTTGAACTGCACGAGCGCGAGCTTGCCCAGCTCGTCGATGGTGGCGTGCGCGGCGCCACGCTCGAAGTAG